TGCATTTTTACAGCAAATGCCCATCATCGGGTCTTATTTTTCTCTCTGTCAGATGCATAAAAACCAAAGTTTATGGTTTAAAACAGTGGTCCCCAACCTTTCCAGCTTTGTGGACCAGCGGCGGGGGAGAGACAGGATGGGTCCATGCGAGTGGTGGGTGAGCACATACACAGCTCCATTTGTGCAAGGGGCATGCATGCACACATGCTGCTCACACAAATGGAACTTCACACACGCTCACCCGCGGCTCGCGCAAGTGGAGCTGCATGCATGTGCACCCACTCCGCCGCTGCTTGTGTGCCCCACTTCCAAATGGGCCACAGCCCGTGGGGTGGGGGACCTCTGCTTTAAAACATCATGGTTGTTTTTAAAAACAGATCATCCTAATCACAGATGACAATTTTTAAAGGGTGGAATGGATCATTTTCAAGGCAGTCCCAATGAATCTCAAAAGGAAATTATATTAAAGTATCCTAACATAACACATCTGTTTTGGGAAGGCAAAGCAGTCTGCACTGGTTGATTGCTATCAAAAGGATTGTTAGACTTTAGAGAGAACCAGCTTGGTTTATTTGTCATGAAAATTACTAGGAGGGGCTTGGTTTACCCAGATTTCAAAAGAACAATTACTTATATGCTTAGCTATGACATTTCTTAATCCCTGAGACTATGACCAATGCTTCAAGCTGTAATGTACATAGTTCATTGTTCGGAAATAAAAGATATTGGGTGTATCCCTACTATCAGACACTGGATGGCTAAAAACAACACAGATTCCAAACAATGAGGAATCACAAGTGATAACTAATTGATCATAATGGACAAGGAGAAAAGTTATTTTTTTTTACAGTTCCTTATAGTCCCTTTGACCAGCAAGCAATTCAAGCTTCCTGCTGAAGCGGCCTTGTTTTTCCAATGATAGGATAAAAATAGAGGAGTTTGATGAAAGTCTGACTTGTAGACCCATCTTCAGAGTGGGAAAGGCCAAAGCTATATGAAGTCTTTGTCAGGGCTTGTGTTCTTCCTTGGTGGCTCTTTAATTAAGTTATTAGTGGGCTAGTAGTTAGAAGGCAGTACGGCTCACTGCCATCGGTTCAGCAGTTCGATTCTCACCCGCTCAAGGTGGACTCAGCCTTCCATCCTTCCGAGGACAGTAAAATGAGGACCCAGATTGTTGGGGAGGGGGGCAATAGGCTGACTCTGTAAGCCGCTTAGAGAGGGCTTTAAAGTACTATGAAGCGATATATAAGTCTAGGTGCTATTGCTATGGCTATTGGTTCTTGCTCTTCTAAGTGATTATATATAAATGGCCAGTGAAATTCTCTCTCCCATGCACTGCTAATGTTACCTAGCTTGGTAATAAAACATCTGCAAGAAATCAACCAAGCTCAGAGAACAGCAAAGGCCCAACAGATCTCTCACAGTGGGGAAGCATCAGTTAGTGCAGCTCTTATTCCAGAAATAAGGTAATTACAAAGCAAATCATATAGAAAAGTCTCCCAACTCAGAACATCTAGCATGGCCAAGTGAAAGAAACATTGTTCCGCTCTGAAATCCTATGGAGCTGCTATCAAACTCTCTGCTTTGGCCCAATGCAACCATTTAATACACATACAGATAGTCCTCAACTTATAACCGTTCACCCAGCCAGATTCACGTAACAACCATTTTATTAGCTAAACACCTGTAGTGATTCGCTTAACAATGGCGGCAAGAAAAGTCATAAAATGGAGCAAAACTCACTTAACAACTGTCTCACTTAACAACAGAACCTTTGGGTCCAGTTGTGGTCATAAGTCGAGCACTAATTGTAGTGGAAAGATAGAGACGATGCTTAACCTTGGGTTTCTACCACAACTTAAAAAAATATCCCTCTAGGGCAGTGGTGGCGAACCTATGGCACGCGTGCCAGAGGCGGCACTCGGAGTCCTCTCTGTGGGCACGTGCACCGTTGCCCCAGCCCTGCCTCTCCCCATGGCCCCCTCCTCACCAGCAACCCCCCGGAGAGTCACCCCCAGGCGCGGCCCGCACAGAGCAGCGCAACTAAGGACATGGCAGCTGGGCAGCGGGGACAAGACTCCGCCCTCGCATCCTGTCGCATGCAGATAATGCTGTGGGGTGCAGGCGGAGGCCGTGGTCGCCATCACGCTGTGGCGGGCCGTGGAGGTGGTGGGTGGCCCTGCGGGCAGGCGGGGGTAGGGGGCAGAGAGGGAGGACAGGGTGGTTTTGGGGCACTCAGTCTCTAAAAGGTTCGCCATCACTGCTCTAAGGGGAAAAGATCCCATCCTCTTCACCCAATATTGAACAGGCTGCAGACAAGATAGGAGGAAACTGTAGAGCAGGTGAAGAAATTCTTATTGACAGCAGTTCCGAGAAGTTCTGTTGTTGGCCATATCAAAAAGAGCAACAACCCCAGGCTGGGTCCAAACGCTGAAATAATCCAGCTGAGAAACAGCGTTTAACTTTTCCTTGTAACCATCATCGCATATGGCTCTATCCTCTAGAAACAAACGCAATCGTAACTCTTGTCACAAGGCACCACCATATCCTGGTCTGTGGCTTCCTGGATTTGCATCCTCAGAGCGAGAAATGGCTGAGGATCTTTTCCTTCTAAATCGACCCAACATTGCTTTGTCTCATTTAGGTCTCTTGTGATGTGTGGACCTCAGCTCCCAGAATCCTCAGCAGTGGGCCAGGCTGGCTTCCGAATTTGGGGACTGGCTAAAATTAAGGACCAACAATATGCCTCTTCTCGTTTCCCACTCGGGTGAGGACCAGGGTCCTCTGTGGATAAGTCACCCAATACACAATACTACTCTTCAGAGAAGACGTTTAGTGAAGGATTTTGTGAGCTTTAGTGTGACACTTCATTTCACGTCTGGGGTAGTTAATCGTGGGGAAAAAAAACATGAAACATTGGAGAGCAAAAGGATTTTTTTTACTTCCTTATGCGTAACAAAAGGAGTCCTAACTACTGCTAGAAAATAAAATAAGGAAATAGTTAGCAAGCTTTGATACTTAAAGAGGGGAGGAGGAGAAGTTAAGGAAGATGGAGATCTTTTTTCTCGCCATGTCTCTTCCTGTCTGGTGATGTATTTTACCCATGAACTCATGTACGTGTCTAAGGGAGTTTACTGAAAGAGCTCTCCTGCTATACGTGCAGAGGTGAAAAAAATATCTTCAGGGCATTTGTCACAAGATGGGCGATCTGACCAAAGCTTGCCTCCCAGCTTCCCCTTTCCTGGAAAGCCAGCATGCCATCAAAGTGGCTGATGAATTGGCTGCTGACACCCTGATGAGAATAATGGAGTTGGAAGGGACCTTGGAGGTCATCTAGTCCAACCCCCTGCTCAGGCAGGCAGGAAACCCTACACCATTTCAGACAAATGGCTGTCCAGTCTCTTCTTAAAAACTTCCAGTGTTCGAGCAACCTCAATTTCTGGAGGCAGGTTGTTCCACTGGTTAATTGTTCTAACTGTCAGGAAGTTTCTCCTTAGTTTAAGGTTGCTTCTCTCCTTGATTAGTCTCCATCCGTTGCTTCTTCTCCAGCTTTCGGGTGCTTTGGAGAACAGGTGGACCCCCTCTTCTTTGTGGCAGCCCCTCAAATATTGGAATGCTGCTATAATGTTACCCCTAGTCTTAGTTTTCATTAAACTAGACATACCCAATTCCTGCCATCATTATTCATATGTTTTAGTCTCTAGCCTCCAGATTAAAAAGTATCTTCAGGGCATTTGTCACAAGATCTAGCCAAAGCTTGCCTCCACCCTTTCCCTCTCCTGGAAAGACAGAAGTTTACCAATGCACTGATGAATTGCCTACTGACACCTTGATCCATCTACCTCAGGGTCTTCAAACTCAGCCCTTTTATGACTCATGGACTTCAACTTCCAGAATTCCTCAGCCAGGCACGCTGGCTGAGGAATTCTGTGAGTTGGAGTCCATGAGTCATAAAAGGGCCGAGTTTGAAGACCCCTGCTCTACCTCATAAGGTGTCTAACTGCCTTACCCAATACTTAAAAAGCTAGTGCGTTCACCAATGTCTGTGCCTTTTGGGTCATCTATATCAAGGCTTTTCAACCAGTGGTACGGGTACCACCTGTGGTACATTGGCACCTGGCAGGTGGTACACGACCATCCTAGAAAAGTGGTAATGGGGGAGGGGAATGAGCTGAACCGGTGGCAGCACCGCACAAGCCTGAGCGAGAGATGGCTGGAGCTGCAGGGCTGTCAGGGCTCAGTGGAAGCGCCAGGATCAGCGCCAGGCTCCAGCTGGAGCTCGGCACTGATCCTGGTGCTTCTGCTGAGCCCTGAAGAAGCACCAATCAGCTGGAAAGCAGTACTGATCCTGACGCTTCTGCTGAGCCCAGAAGAAGTGCCAATCAGCTGGAATGTTGCAGTATCTCCAGGGTCTTGTGATTTACATTCAGATGCTTGGCAACTGATTCATATTTATGATGGTCAGTGTCCCAGGGTCATGTGATGTGACCAAAACCTGCTGCAACCACCCAGCAGATGGGGGGAATAAAAACCAAACATCCCCCACCCCACCCCCGCTGCCAATCCTCAACAGAAATGCTCACAACAATGAAAACCTCGGACAGGAGGAAGAGCGCGGCCGGGTGGGCAGGCAGGTGTCTTGCTCGGCTGTGGCTTGGGGGGCACTTTTTCAGTGCCATTGTAACTTTGAACAGTCACTAAGCGAACTGTTGTAAGTTGAGGACTACCTGTACTTTATCACTTTTTTCCCTTTTTTTTTTTTTGGTCATGAAGTTTTTGACACCTTGCTAGGCGACTGGTGGTACTCGGATGTTGCCATATCCTAAAAGTGGTATAATGGGTGAAAAGGTTGAAAAGCCTTGATCTATATCTGGCTTTTAAGAAATAATCTCCCAGTCCAGCACGCTAAACAGACATACGTCTCAAAATGAATCACTCGTTTGCCCTGTATGTTACCTTATTTATTTTAATCTCATATCCGCTCCGCCCATCCAAATATAAAGAGGCACCAGAGCCACAGTGCCCTTGTTTTGCCTATAAGCATCGTATCGAAAGTCTTCAAGGAGCCAGAGAGAAAGGCAAATAGGTGAGAGTGGAATATGTATATTTATGGTGTTAAATCTTTTCCGTTTGTACCTGTGATTTTTTGATTGGCGCTATGCTTATGAAGGTAAATTATTTGATTTGGCTGTTCTCGGTTGTGTAGACACAGTTCGGTGATTTTCTTGGGAGGTGAGACAAACACAGTTTCTGTTTTTTTGCTACCTTGGCCTGAGTATTCCTGGCTCTTGGAACCATTATGGATGATGCCAGGAAATAGGAAAGGTTAGCAACTTTGATAATGCCCTGGCAGGGACCGATGGAAATTTTGAAGTCCAAGGTATCTAGAGAGCTTGATTTTCTGCTAGTAGAGGCTTCCTATCTTTCCCCATGGACTTCTTTGAGGAAGGATTGCAAAAGCTGTGGACTCACCCAAGGTGGCAAGTTTTATTTGTCCCCTGCAATGAAATAAGCATTTGCAGGTTTACTTACTCCTTCGCATATTTATCTCACAAGGTTTCTCCATTTTGTGAGATTTCTGCATTTTTTGGGAAGGAAGCTACTGGGACGTTACATGAAGTTGTATAATACTTGCAGCTGTTGCTTTCATATCTTTTTTTAATTTGCATAGGGAAAAAAGGCACACCTGCATAGGGAAAAAAGAGCCATCTCTAATATCCTCAAAGTCATCACTCTTTTTCAACCTGTAGGCACAGCTACTACCTTGGCACTCATTCTAATTGCTTCCTGCTAGTTGTGATATATTGTTTGTCATTTGCATGTTGTGGACATTTAAAGCACAGAGTGTTTGTTCTAGTTAAAGATATCCTGAAACAACATGTCTTATACTGAGCCTGTTAACTGTTTAAAAGATCATCAGCTGCTGCTTTATGTGAAGAAAAAAAAAACCCAGCACTGGGCCTGATATATACATGTTTGTGGAAAAGAAGTCCAGACTTTAAAGAGAAGAATTAAAACTAAACGTGACACTATTTGAATAATTCATAATGGCAAAAAATAGTTTTTTATAACAAAATGCAAGGTTGTTATCTCTATCTCTACTCTAAACTGGAGTTGACGGAAGATGCTAAAAGTTAAACATAATCTATCTTGCCTCTTATTGGGGTCTTTAAAAATTTGTTTGAAACTATTAATAGCAAGGTTTTAAAAATTGCAACACCAACAGAAAAAAATATTGATAAATGACAGTTATACAGTGAAGGTGGGTGGGTAGGTGGGTAAAAAAAGTCCAACAGAAAAGATATACGCAATACTATTGATGGTGATATAAAGTGGTATTACAATGCCTTGGTAAGGCCACACTTGGAATACTGCATCCAGTTTTGGTCACCACGATGTAAAAAAGATGCTGAGACTCTAGAAAGAGTACAGAGAAGAGCAATAAAGATGATTAGGGGACTGGAGGCTAAAGCATATAAGGAACGGCTGCTGCAATTGGGTATGTCTAGTTTAATGAAGAGAAGGACGAGGGGGGACATGATAGCAGTGTTCCAATATCTCAGGGGCTGCCCCAAAGAAGAGGGAGTCAAGCTATTCTCCAAAGCGCCAGAAGGCAGGAGAAGAAGCAACGGATGAAAACTAACCAAGGAGAGAAGCAACCTAGAACTAAGGAGAAACTTCCTGACAGTTAGAACAATTAACCAGTGGAACAACCTGCCTCCAGAAGCGGTGAATGCTCCAACACTGGAGGTTTTTAAGAAGAGACTGGATAGCCACTTGTCTGAAATGGTATAGGGTTTCCTGCCTGAGCGGGGGGTTGGACTCGATGACCTCCAAGGTCCCTTCCAACTTTACTATTATTATTATAACATTTATTGAGTCTTTAGGTTCATCATAAAATACAGCAGTCTTCCAGTTCTTGAAGGGCTGCCACAGGGAAGAGGGTGTAGATTTTTTTTTCTCCCTAGCACTTAAAAATCAGACAAGAAGTCACAGGTTGAAGCTATGTAGAGGGATATTCAAACTTGGTAAGGTGGAATCTCCTGACTGTTATGAAGCAGTTGGATAACCTATCTCCTGGAGTTTGGGTAGATCCATCACTGGGAGTTTTCAAGCAAAGATTGGATAGCCAATGGTCTGGGACCATGTTTCTCAACCTAGGCAACTTTAAGATGTGCGGACTTCAACTCCCAAAATTCCCCAGACTGCCTTGCTTCTTGTCCTTAATAATTTTAAGAGTGTGGACTTCAACTCCCAGAATTCCGCAGTCAGCAAAGGGACCCTCTATAGCAGGGGTAGTCAACCTTGGCTATTTTATGACCCGTGGACTTCAACTCCCAGAATTCCTGAGCCAGCCATGCTGAGGGGAAAGGGAGAGGTTTCCATGCTGAGCCATGCTGGCTCAGGAATTCTGGGAGTTGAAGTCCACAAGTCATGAAGGGGCCATAGTTTCCCCATGCTGGCTCAGGAATTCTGGGAGTTGAAGTCTACGAGTCATAAAAGGGCCGAAAAATTCAATTTTTCCTCAACAACCTCATAATTTTCCAACTCTTGCCTAGTTTCTCTACAAAGAGTCAACCCCAGATACAACAATTTTGGCTTCCTGAAGCAAGTTCCAGAGTTTCCCCCTTTCCAATCCGGTCTACAAATCGGGTTTTTTTTTTGTGGTCTCCAATTCACATAACCACCTATTCTGATCCCTTTTCAGGAATCAACCAGGGTCAGCCACGACAAGCATAAGTGTTTAATTAAATTTACATTTGTACAGCATTTGAATTTAAATTCAACCACATTTAGCTTTTCCCTGTGGCCCTCAGCCAAAACTAAAGTGCCCAATGACAGAGAGAATTTAGGACGGGGAAGATTAGGTCAGGAAGAATTGGGAAATCTCATATATTTCTAAGCCGTCGCGAATAGAAAGTCTTTTCTATTTCCTCCACTCTAATTTTACACCTTTGAACCAACGTTTCTGCCAAATATGCTCATTATTTTTCTAGTCAAATAATTTTAGAGAGCGTATCCAAAAAACCCACAACTATCCAACCCATGATTTACCAGTTTCACGAGCGAACCTCCAAGTTCTCTGCTGTTCATTTGCCATATTAATTCTCTCTTGTTCTTTCTTCCTATAAATTTCTAACCTGAAGAAATTCGTTGTTGGAACATTTATCCCTGTGCAAAGCAAAGGTTCTCCGTTCCCAGAAAAAAAAACATGAAGTACCTTCTTTTTTTCGCTGCTTTGATAGCTACAGGTAAGTCCAGTATGTACTCGAAACATAGCCTCTGGGCTGGGTGGGCGGAAGGCAAAGTGTGATTAAATTGTAATCCGCTGTATTTGGAGATTATTGATGGATTAATATTAAAAAGGTGTGGGGTCCTTGGTGCACTTTGAGCTTGGTGGTTTTCTTACATCGAGCACGTTTCATTACCCCGATGACGTGCTCGATGGTGTTATCTAGCTGGGTAATAGATGACCAGTGTATTGATCCATAAGCCATGATTAGGGCATGCATAAGCCATGATTAGGGCATGCTTTACAGGGTCAGAGAGGGTGCACCAGTCACCATTCCTTGGAAAAAGTTTTAGATCAGAAAACATAAACAAACAAACAAACAAACAAACAAACAAACAAATAAATAAATAATCAGTACTGCTTTTCAATGGAAAGTGATTGTTATTTTATTCTTTTTTTTCCCCCCACACCCATCCCATACAGCAAATGCCCTGAATTGTGAATGTTCCGGACAAACGTGCGAGGCAAAGCCTTGTACAGTAGAAGCGGGGAGCTGTTATTCAATTGAGAGGGAAATCTCTACTGGTAAATGCTGACCCCTCCTATTTGCTTTTCTGAGTGACTTCTTCTAGGAACTTTACCAACTGAAAGAGAGGGAAGGACCGAGGGTAGGAGGAAGAAAGGAAAGGAAAGGAAAAGGAGAGGGAGAGAGAAAGGAAAGGGAAGGGAAGGGAAGAAAAGGAAAGGAAGAGGGAAGGGAAGGGAAGGAAAGGGAGAGGGAGAGGAAAGGGAAGGGAAGGGAAGGGAAGGAAGAGGGAAGGAAAGGAAAGGAAAGGAAAGGGAGAAGGAGAGGGAGAAGGAAGGGAAGGGAAGGGAAGGGAAGGGA